TAAGAACTTTGGAGACAAGAACAGTCCCAAGACTATCCGAACGGTGAATGTAATATGGGGAATGAATAATCATCTGCAGATATTCCAGAAAGAACATTGGAAATCCCTATCTCATGAGATGGGGGTGGTGGGGATTCCTGAAAAGAACCCAATGGGAGAGTAGGTTCTGTCATGGCAGTTGAAGAGGAAGGAGAGCAGAGAAAAGACGCGAATTTAGAAGTGAATTTTTTTTTTAGAGAGAGAGAAAGATCCCAAACAACTCAAGATGATATTAGGCACAGAAAAGAGAAAAAAAATATAGTCCCACAAAAGTCTGAGACAGAAGCCCCACAAAAATATTGTAAAAAACCAATGATTTTCTTTTGAGAAAAGATACAAAAAAAAATGGTGTACTCAGATTTCCCGAACTTGTAGACCAATAAAGGCCGATAACAAGAAATTGATAGTTAAGAGGATGCAAGAATATGTGAAGGATTGCCAATAAATACAGGAAGAGAAAGATAGATTTCATTTTGTTTGTTTTCTTTCACAGGGTCAACAACTGGGCTTATGCAATGCAGAGTGTAAAGCTGGATGGTCAAATTCTTGACCTCGATATTTCATCTCATGCTCCTAACCTTACCAAGGATGTTCCATGTATGCGGACAACATCTTCTTATGCTTGCCATGAAGTTACAGAGCACGCAGAGGTATTGGTTCCCCACAATGCATGGGCAGATTGTGTCATGGGGAACTCCAAAAAAAACACCAGGAGCTAATGGTGGATAATATTGCTCAAACTTTTGGATCTGAGGGTGATTTGGCTGCTTATTCTTTATCAATAATATTAAGAGCAGGAGCTTGAATTAGTTAGAGTAAAGCGAGAAGCCAAATAGAAGAAGGGTAGTCCGTAGAGAGAGAGAGCAAACTCCAAAGAGCGATAGCACCAGCGGAGATAGCACAACCTGCTGTTATTAGAAGTCTAGAGAGAGAAAACGATAGCTGGTATGGAGATATTTATTGGATCGGTAGAGATGCTTAAACTAGAGAGATAAAGGGGTAGAGAGCTAAGAGAGATTTAAGGGCAGAGAACCATGCTCTGATACCATGATAAAATGTGAATTTCGAATATATTTTTTTTGTTTCAATAAAAGGGAAATATATAATTATGTACAGAAAAGTTACACAGTTTTCTCTATAAATTTGAGAGGTAAATCTAGAGAGATAAAATACACGATTTTCTCCATGAATTTGGGAGGTAAATCTGGAGAGATAAAATTGACTTTTGAATAAGTCTAATAATTTGTTCTCTACTTCAAGTGTTATATATTATTATTGATAAAGGCTTCTCAATGGATATTTTGATTGAAGGGGATTCTCTTAACAACATTAAATAGTGTAAGCATAAGCAAAGGGTACCATGGTCTATGCATGTTAATCATTGGTCTTTGTGCTAACCTGGGGTTGAGGATTTCTTTCTCTCATACCTACCGCGAGGCAAATCATGAGGTGGTCAATCTTGCAAAGTATGGAGTTTCGTTATATTCTTTGCTCATATCTAATGCTTTAATTTCCTTGATGTATTTTGAAGCTTTTTAAACATATATTCAATAAAGAACTCATAACATTGTCAAAAAACAAAAAACAAAAAAAACAAAAAAAAACAAAAAAAGAAGAAAGAAGAAGAAAAGAAAAGAAGTGCCTGAAATAAAATCATGTCATAGGGGTGTATGTATTCTGTTCGCCATGTATGTGTTATGTACGTCTATGACATGATAAATGAGCAACCCACGGCACCTACTGCACAATATATGTCGAATGGTCAAGATTCAAGGAGACAATGACAAATGGCCTAGATTTGCATAATAATGAAAGCCAAAAGATTTATACTCTGCTGGAGTATATTGTCCACGTACCCTCATATAAAACCCAATATGGGAGTTATTTTAGGATCTCATAATTAAAAAACATAACCTCTTCAATAAAACGACTAACGTTACCAAAACATAAAACTTTTGAATTGAACTCTATGTATACTAGAAAAAATAATGTCCCAAAATTGAATAGAGGCCGTCCAATTTTTTGAATGATGAGATCTAAGTGTCAGAAAACTCAAGACTCATTATTATTATTATTATTATTATTATTATTATTATTATTATTATTATTATTATTATTACTATTTTATAATATAGTGATGCTTAGGTGGTTCCTACAATTTTAGATTGAAATAAATCATCCCAAGTATGTCTTTTGACTGAGGGAGTAGATTCATAATATGCTATTGTAGGAGCACAACCCAAAATTTTAGATTGAAATGAGTCATCCCAAGTAGGCCTTTTTTACTGAGGGAGTAGATACTACCGTACCAGCACAGTGTACGTTCTCTTAATGAAATTATAGACCTTGAGAAAAGAAGCGGACCATGTAAAATTTTCACACATGCAAGTTTCATGTGTTTTCGTAATTTTTTAATGTTAACTTTGGACTTGGGATTATAAAACTATACATGTCGATTTAGTTCTAATACAACTCAAAATTAAAAACATCCTCAAAATTAAAAACATCTTTAGATAGAATAAATTTTTTGTTTGCTTCCTATTCGATCTTCGTTGTCTAACTTTTATTGTGCAGCCGATCCACTTACATAATTATTATCATCATTAGAGTCATAATGTGCAGCCGATCAACTTACATAATTATTATCATCATTAGAGTCATATTCCAACTATTTGGGGTTGGCTATATAAATTTGGTTCTGCCATTCCGTTCTATAGATGATTATATCTTTAGTAAGACCATATACCACCCTGTCTTTTATCATGAATTCTATCCATATCCTTTTGGGCATCCCTCTTGCCCTTTTTAAGGCTTTAGTTGAACCAAATCACTACTCATCCATCTCAACATCTTTACCTTGACTAACAAAATCATCTTTTTTATAAAGGAAAATTCGAGCCTAACTCAAAATTTTCACTAGAAGAGGTTGTTTTGATGCCCAAATATCTTCAAATTGATCATCTCGACATCAAGATGCATGGATATGAGAAAAAAATGGATTGCAAGTATTGAAAATAGTGTATTTTGTAACACAGTTTTGGATTGTCAATTTTCAAGTTTTCATATATATGTCGATCTACACTATTTTTGAAGCTTTAAACTTTTATAAATAAATATGAAGATATATTTTAAGACTATTTGAAGGTTGGCTCTAATTTGATTGTTTAGAGCCTAGGCTCTATACAAACCACACCCTTTTATAAATATTTGGTATCTAGACACACTTTTTTATAAAAAATGGGTCGGGTCGGGTTGAGTAGAAGGGGACCCAAATGCTGCCAAACTAGGTTTAGGTTAAATTTGGACCTAACCTGTTTGGGTCCAAGTTAATTGGACTTGATCAGGTTCACTCGGGTCCGGGTCTAGAAATTAAAAAAAATTTAAAATCATATTATTTTATAATATATATTTTTTATACGTCTATATGCACCTTAAACAAGTTGAATCCAAACCCGACCTAAGTCGAGACTAAGTCAAGTAGACCTAAACCCGATGCTTTGGGGCCTTAGACCAAGTTGAGTTAGCCTGTCTAGTCCATGAATGGACCCAAACTGTTTCCCACCCCAGGCATTAAGGCTTCACTCACTCCATCAGGGGATTGCAACATAATTGAGATCAATGTTGTCAGATTCACTTTGTTCTGGTAGATGACGCCGAAGCCTTCGGATTTTAGGCCTAGATCAAAGCGAAGTGAAGCCTAGTGCTACCACTTTGGTCGACTTCAGCCGTTTCGGTCGAAGCTTCGGCATCTTTGGCCAAAGAAAGAAGTAATGCTACCTTGATGACACACTTGCAACCTCAATGTGAACATTATTGGATTGTTGAGGTTCTTGAGTATACTATGAGGTACATAATCATTATATATACAAAAAGTGATTTCTTTTTTTTTTTGGAAAAAGTTTTTATAAGGTTGCAAACTTAAAATGTAGGATTAAAGATGTACATAAAAAATCCATCATAAAAGGTTCTTTGCT